GATCCTGTCCCAAATCAGTATATTCTGATTGGTACCGACGTACCATATGTTGGTATACCAGTATCTACTGACAAACTAGAAAAAAGACAGAAAAACCCAAAAAAACCTGAAAAATTAAAAAAAAATCTAATTTAGAATCTCTATCCATCTTTTAAGTGAGAAAAAAGTCAATTTGACTATAGTTGTTATTGTAATCAAATGTTTATCTCTCTTTTTGAAGTGTGTGTTGAGATCACATAATATAACAAAATCTAAAACCGTACCCTCTCCTCATTCCTTTCCCCATAACAAAAGTCCTCATGTACACTTTTAACTTCACAATATGCTTTTCCTACATGACCATTCAAATCTCCTCCAATCATGTTGTAATATAAATTCCATCCAAGCTGCATTTTAATTGATGGTTCTCTATGCAATACTGTATTGCTTCTGGCTTACAGATTACCACTGTTGGTTCTGGTGCTGCAACTTCAGTACTCAAATTTTGGTTGATTTCTCAGACTCAATGAAATTGAGAATGCTCGTGGTATCATGGATGTTCTAGCAGAGATGTTGAATGCCTTGGATCCTGTAAACAGAGAGGTAGGATGCACTTCAAGACTTATTTTTATAATAGCTTTTTACAATGCTATCTTCGAATATCACTTTTTTTAGAAGTCTTGGATGATAAAGTCTCTTTGCTGTGTTATTAGCTGGTCATTTATCCTTGAAAATTTTGAAAGCTCAATAGTTTTGGTTCAATTTAGAGTTTTCATTTTCTGCTCATCTCATGTTGATTTTTATATGCAGGGTCTGAAACAGGAGGTATTTGTTGACCTTGTCGGTCAATGCCGTACCTACAGACAGAGAGTAGTGCATCTCGTTAACACAACCTCGTAAGTACTCTCGGTTGCTCTCTCCATGTTTAATGAATTTTTAAAGAAAATAAAGTTAATGAAGTTTGGACTAAGCTGTTTTTACTTCTGCACAAATTTGTGATATATCACCAATTAATTTGTTTATGTATTTTTTTAGTCAGCATTTCCATTTTTGTCTCCAAAAAGATGAATTCAATAGTAGTTTTCCCCCTTGTCCCTTTTTACTTGCTCTCACCTTTCAAGTTGTGTTTATGGAAGATGGTGTGTCAAAGTTACTATGTTAGTCTTCCTCTGACATCTGATATAACATGATTGTATCATGAGATACTTGTGTAGTCACTCGACTGTGCTCATCAGCTTCCAAGATTTTGGTCTTTCATTGGTTATGCTGTTTTTACAGAGATGAGGAGCTGCTTAGCCAAGGACTTTCCTTGAATGATGATTTGCAGAATGTGCTAGCAAAGCATGATGCTATTGCTGCAGGTACTGCTGTTCATGATGAGAAACAAAAATCTGCACTTGACCATGTTGATGATTCTTCAGCTAGCAAAGAGTCAGATCAAAGGTAGTCCAGTTTCTTAAACAACTTGCTATTTACAAACTTTCTATCTACACCGTAGGCATGTTCATGCCAGGTTATGAGTAAATTCGAATCACTTCTTTGAGATAAATAAATGTATTGTGAGGTTTTAAGAACAAAATTTCTTTTGAGCATCTGCTTCTGTAATAGTAGTTGGACAACTTGAAGATTGTTAATCTCTTTAAAGTCTGTTATTCAATCAATTTCTTTCAGTCAAGATTAACCAACAGAACATGCTTTGTTTTGAGTGTGGCAAAGTTTACATCGTACTCGGTGATGTTTCTTCTTTCCATTCTAGTATGGAACATGATCATAACTTTATGACATAGGTTGTCAACTGCAAGTTCAAGCTCAAGTAACCAGCCGCCTCCTCTTCAGCAATCACTGCTACATGGATCTCCTGCATCCTGTGATTCAGCAATCTCTTCCGCAAAAATTGAACCCAGTATGGACCTTATTAGTGGTGATGACTACAATAAACCTGCAACAGAGAATCTGCTAGCTCTTGTTCCTGCCAGTGAACCACTTACCAATGTTGCTTCTGAGCAGAACGTCTTAAGGCTTGCAGAAATGTTTCCTCCTATCATATCTAACAGTAGCAGCACAAATCCTGCAAACCGTTTTGATTCGAATTCTGGAATTCCTGCACAACAGACATATCCTGCTGGAACCAACATTCAGCTGCAGGTGCACCTAATACAACAGCCTGCCCTTTTTACTAGTGGAGGCATCCAAAGCTCAGGAGCACCTCAATTTGAGCAGGCAAGTCGTGATCAGGGAGTGCAGCTAACCCACATGAGCATTGTCTGGGATGGTCAACTTTCTCCAGCATATAATCCAGAGGAACAGGCACTAAGTTATGGTAAAACCATCACCTTTTCTTCTCATTCTTTACACTTATTTTTCTATTTAAAATTCTACCAACCTTTTTTCATGGTTATACTCTTGGCATTCCCCCTTTAAAGTGAAGAGACGTGCTTGTTTGTTCTGCAATTAATGTATACCCATCCCATTGAAAAGAAAATTTGACTAAGATGGCTATAAGACTTGATGTTCTAGGGATTTAAATGTTTGAGTTCTGTGAAAAATATCATATACAAAAAGTGTCTTGTAAAGGGGGAATGTTGAGATGTCATGAATGGGCATTATACACCATATAGAATAAGCAATCATTGTATTTATAGTAAATCAGAGGTAACTCCTCCTTTTGAGTGAGAAACCATTAGCATTCAACTAGGAAAGTGTTCAGTGCAAAACATTCATAATCCTTTATAACATCACTTGGTTATGAGCAAATCCTTCCTCTCATATGTATATATTTATTTCTGGCCTCCCACTCACCCATAAAGCCATATCAAAAGAACTTTGTTCATCATTAAAGATCACTCAGATGAAAAATCCATTCTACAATAGAATTGTGATTTTTTTTTTTGTTTGGGGGTGTAATTGAATTTCTACTGATGCAGATGATCAAGCTGGTGGTGCTCTTCCCCCACCACCATGGGAGGTGCAACCTGCGCAGAATGATTTGCCAGGTTTGCAGCCTCAACCATTTCAAATTGATCAGCTTGGAGACATGCATTCCTTGCCAATACAAACCGGCCAGCTTGAAGGCGCTCAACCTCAACCCTCGCTGGCCGGCCAGCTGGGAAAAATGCACCCACAGCATGTACTGGGCACCCTGCTCGAAGGGTTACAACCTCAGCTTGCACAAAGCAGTCAGGTTGTCGGCGTGTATCCTCCGATGCAAAACAGCCGGATGACAGCCATGCATCAGCAGCAAATGTTTGGAGGCCGTGTCGCCGATATGGGTCAACAGTCCATGCAGGGAGTTCGGCTGACAGGCTACGGATTTGGGCAGCAGCCAGATGCTCAATACTATGATCCAATGAGTTCAACGCACCCTTATTCTAATCCAACTGAGCTCTCACATGGAATGTATGGGCTGTCCGTGCAAGATAATAGCACATATGAAGGTAACAATTCTTCCTACCAGATGCCTACCATGTCCTCATCTAACCTGCAGCAACCGAACAAGCCAATGAAGCCTGAGGACAAGCTTTTTGGTGATCTTGTTAGTATGGCCAAAACAAGACAAACTAAACCTACTGTCAGCAGGGTCCAGGGCTTGTAAAATTTAACGAGAAGAACTGTTTTTTCATGCTGATTCTGGTGCTTGCTTATTATGTATTTTCTCTTGTCTGCATATCTCCATTTGTATTTTGTCCTCTTTCTATCAATCATTCACTTCATTTTGGAGGATAGAGGTGATTAGAGAGATCTGATGTACAGTGTTGCTTACATGTTTGATGATTCAGAGCCCTCATTTTAGACCGCGAACCTCTTCAGTAAGTCACTCTGTCTGTGATGCTGTAAATTGTTTGAAGAGCATATCGAGTGTGAGTGTTTCAGATGAGTAAGTAATATGACGCAAGTTGACATGTAGCATACGCAGTGAAACTGATGCACTACTACTGTCACCCCATATATTGCTTCGATCTACCAGTATATGGATGTACAACAAAAATGCCATGGCTTTATTGCTAAGAGGGTTGATGTCTGAACACCTCTTTCTTGTGAACCATTTGAATTGGAAACAAGTTTGGTGCTCATCGATGATTGTAGAGGCTTCATGCATCCTGATAAAGCTGATGATGTAAGATATCGGAACCCCAATCGGTAAATACGAAATGGATCCTCCCCTAGCATGCTGTGGCCAAGAGATCATCACTTGGTTGCTCCACCACTAGATAGGTAGGTTTGTATTCCAAGTGACAAACCAGCTTTGGCTTTTAAAGACAAACAAGATTATCCAAATTAGAACATTGCTTTAATATAATCTTTAACACTCCATATGTTGGTAAAAGGTTGGAAGTTATGTTACTCTCCGTCCATATCGACTAAAAATTTGATGAGACTATTATTTTGATGAAAACAGATGGAGAGGAGACAACATGCTGCTTCTACGATGCAGAAGAAATAAGCTGTTTTATTTGGACAGGAAAAGATCTCAGGACACCAATCTAATTACCTCGAACTAACTTTTCTGCTGCGCAAGTATTTGATGATTGAAATAATGCTGAACTAAAGGAAACACACACTGCTAAGAGAAGTGGAACAGTAAACACAAAGAAATTTTGATTTTATCACTTAAAAAGGCATCTTACAAAGGGAACAAATCTTCCCATGTTTCATCTTACATGGTCTTTCTCACAAGGGAAAAATATGTATATATATCTTAGAAAGTTGATGGCAAGTTTGATATAAGAAAAATGGAACACATAAAAAGACTACAATAATTAACAAGTCAGAGATCAATTATGAAAGTAAAACTTACTATTAACTAAGACTAAGAACTACCTCATGGCACCATACATTTTTGTTGACAACTAGGGAGCAAAACTTTAATTGCCAACTTTACCAACTTGATAGGTGACCTCCTCATTTCATCCAAAACTAAGAGAACTACAGCAGAATTTGACATCATTTCCGATGAGCAATTATGTTATAATAGGAAATGTCTTTCTCCACTCCATGGATTTGATCCAGATGCGCAATCCATATCCCACAACAAGCAGTACTACACTGATCAAACTCTTTCATTAATTTTAAGAGGTCCAGTCACTAAAATTCTAGAAGGTATTTTCTTCTGAATGATCTAAGCCAGTGGCCGCATTATGCAGCTATAGAAATCAAAAACAACGGAGCAACAAGAATGTGAATTTCAAGAATGTGCCGGTTTTTGCTGAAACAAAGAAAATCTCCAAGAGTGCATTTAACAAGAAATCACATCCTGTCGTACTTCATCACCAACTGAAGCCTCTTGTGACCCAAACAGAACCACAAGATCTGTCATAAAGGCATTGAGATGCCTGCCAAAAGAAATTTTTTATAGCCAGCTGGCGATAGTTGCTTGACCAACACAATGTAATAACAAATAAATAACAAAAAGAAACATAATAACACAAGACAGTCAACACCCCATGGAGAAACTACAGAAACAAACCGATAAACATATTGGTTATCTAATTATGAATATCTGAATGTTAAGGTCACAGTATCTTAACGGTCTTAAACGTGGTATTTGGTTTTGATAGCATTTAATATATATTAGTCACGAATATGGGAAAAATCATAGTAACCTATGACATGGAATGACATGGGTGCAGTATCATACAGGTGTGTGATTCTTCCCCAAACTCTTTTTTTTCCCACCAAGGATAAGTGTCAAAGGCAGGATTTGAGCTAGGACCTTGTCATAAACTGTCAAAATCTTTATCAACTAAGTTACACCTTCACTTTTAGTTGGTTTATATCTAAATAATATTCCCAATTTCTGTAATCTGGATCATATATCACGTTCTGAAATATAAAAATATGTGAATCAGGACAAGGATTGTGGTATCTAAGGTTAGAGGGATCCTGATAACTCTAGGTGAGATAGCAGGAAGCAAAAAAATATATAGATTCGACTAAGTAGTGATTGTCAAATAATCATAAATATGGAACAATTAAGACAAAACCTCGGAATGGAATTCAATATGTGCAAGGTGACAAGGAGGATTCATTTTAGAACACATTTGAGGTCCTCTCTAAGATACTTCGGCTGACCAGAATCAAAACCGCGTAAATATAATGAAGAATTTCTACATAACGAATCTATTTCCTCTTCACTCGATGGAGAAAGGGGAGTAATTTTGATTCTCTATGCCACAATGGTTTAATAGAAATCACTAGATGCCAAAGACTGAACTCCCAGGATCTGTTAAGAGTGTAGTACTAACCTTGTGGAACCCATCCCCAGCTCTGGGGCTCCGAGGGGAGAAGCGAATTCAGTCGAGCCGAAGCAACCGCAGCGTGGAGAGGCAACATCGACGCCAAACAGCGGCTCGAACTCATAGCAGGTAATCTGATGTCAGCATCAACCATACGCACATCAAGATCGAAAATTTCCCAATCTCCCCCAAAGATGAACTACCGGAACCACCGATCGAAGAAACCAAAAGCCCGTACCTCGGAGCGCAACAACCGCGCCTCTTGGACGAGGTAACCGGCGATCGAAGGCACGACGAGGGCGGAGAAAGCTGGGGCTCGTGCATAGAACTCTTCGAGGACCTGAGAGACATCGAAACGGCCCGAATCGAAGCCCTAGATCGAAGCAAGAGAGGAGAAGCCATCGTTACTTCGATTTAGTTCGATCTCTCTCACTCTCCTCCCCTCTTCCCTTCGCTTCTTCGGGGAAGGAAAGGGTTTTAGCGAGAAGAGAACATAGGGCTGTCGAAATAAAGATAAATCGTGGCCGTTGGTTGAGAAGATTACGAGCGATTCCTACGGTTCGGATTCATTTTCAATATAAGGAAGCAGCCCTTACCGATGGTTTTTATCCTCGACGCAACCAGATCGGAATCGTTCTTCCCACTCCGATTTCAACCGTTAGATCAATATCAACGGTCAGAGACACGTCTAGAATAAGGATGGGTGTTCGGGCTCTTAGTGAGCTGGGCCGGGCCGTATTCAGAGTTAACCCACAACTCAATTGCCAACAACGTGATTGGATTGCAAAATTAAATCTACCAAAATACCTTTTTGGCAAAATATATTTTTCATATAGAATGCGAATTAAACAAATCAGATTGGTACTTATTCGGAATTATATTGTCCTGAAATATATTTATTTATAATAACTGTAGTTAGACAATTTATCGGAAAAAAAAATTGCACATAATCACAATCAACTTCACATGAAAATATTGTTTTAATGAATATTAAATTCTTTAAAATGGTTCGAGTCAATCAATTGGAGTCAATTCCCTTCGTTTGTCTCCTCTGTTTGTAAGAAACAAATAAAGATAGATGCATTCAGGGCAACAAACGAGCAAGAGAGATTGCCATCATATTATGGGTACAGCCACAGCATCTTAAATAAACTTAAATGCAGAAAACAAGACCGACCTGAACAAGAAAAAAGGAAAAGAAAATTTGATCTCACATGTACACACTGCTACATCGATGGCATATCTACAAACTGGTTTCCGATGTGGCTTCTTTACCCGATTGGTCAGGGCGAGTCCGAGGTACATGATAGAAGCTGGTCAACTTTGTTCTTGTATTATCGTTGGGCGCTACCAAATCAGTTACTCCAGTTCTTTAGCAAAATCTATATTGTCGACAAAGACCTGCAAAAGATAACAATGAGAAAAGTGAATCACAATGTTGCCAACTTATCAACCTCATCCTACCAAAACATGTGAAGATTTGATATAACAGATCCATATCCAACGATATAATATCAAAGAATGCGATTTGACATTAACATGTGAAAAATCTAAGACAAAAAACAATGTCTTCCAGATATCTTCAATGTACTTCATTAATGAAACTTGTGCAAGTCTTATAAAAGATCATGTAAAATGAATTGAGAAGACCAATCGTGTTAAAGGCATACAGCCCACATTGTTTCATAAAACTTTAATGCCAGTTAATTAATTAAGTAAAATAATTCATTCAGCCTCAGAAAGAAGGATTAAAGTAAGCTGAAAGAAAGGTGAAGAATTTGCCATCATATGCATATCAACATGAAGACAAGTTCTTGAACACACAATACTGAAGTACAAGGTAAACTGAAATGTGGATTGCAAAAATTAAGAGTTACATCAGTAAACGCAACAATTCTATGAATCGATTTCAGTAATAGAGCATAGACAAAGATCGAGAACATAGAGAAGGTCAAATGTAGGAACATACTGTTTTCCAGCCATCTGGATCTAGGCAGGCAGTAATCTTGGTATTGATGCCAGGTAACGGACCAGGTTCACGAGTTATTTTTCCACCATATAATCTTATAGCGTCTGCAGTTTTGTACACATCATCTGTCCCAATTGCAATCTAGCAAGTGACATCTCAATTGGTTTAATAATCATTGTTTACATTAAATTTTAAAGCATAAAATCTCAATGGGAAGGGAACTTGGTAAAGAAAGATTCTTATAAGAATCACAAAAGATGGCATAACTAAGACGGTCATCTATGACAAAACTGGTATGACATGCTACCTGGGCATAGGCATTCCCTTTTTCATATTCTTTAACTCCATAATTGTAAGTTAACTCCAACACTGCACTCTTATCTTCAGGACCATATCCCATAATTGCTATTGTATACTGAAAAAATATATATATTAAAGTGCACGTCTAAATAACATAAAATTTCAAACAATAACCATAAATAAAGATATCCTGGACAGGAATATTATACCAGAAACAATGCTAGAAGAATATGGATAAAAGTTATGATTTTTAAAAGAGAGAGCTAGAACAACAAAGTAGCACGGATGTTCTACACAGGTATAAGGTGTCAAACAATGCTAATAAAATATATGGTTTGAGGGTAAGACTTTTCACTGAGATAGCGAGGACATTAAAATATCAAGAATATGTTCCCATGCTGTTATAGAAAGCTCAAAATTAAAAATAAAGCCTAAGCCAAAGGAGAACAGCAATAACAAACCACTGTTGCAATTAGGATCTGGACGAACTGATCCTTATTGAGCCCTTTTAAGACAAAAGCACTGGCGATAGAATAGGCAATTTGATAAAAGAATTGTAAGCAAGAGGAAGGTAATCATTTTTCTACTACTACCAGGTGGTTACCCCTTGCATCCAGCCACGCAAACAATGTTGAGAACATATCACTAGTTGAAAAAATGGATAATAAAAAATAATTTCAATTATTGGTTGGGCTTCTGTCAAATACATTTGTTATTCTTTCAATTCCCAGAATGCAATCAAATATAATCTGTGACTATTTGTGTATGTATCTCCATATCTTGCTTTTGTCTTTGTAATTTATCTGACACACGTATAACAGTTAAATCCATTTCTCATGATTGTACCCATGGAAAACCAATCACAGCAAAACTAAGACTTTAAAAAAGACAATGAAGTTAGCAAAAACTGACATCAAGATAAATCTTAATGGAAATTATACATATTGATTCACAAAACTGGTAACACACAACCAAGTGGTCTAGTTGGTGGCAATTGGCATACTTAACAGAGTCTGCTTGATATCAGTCAAATATGATGTTGGAAGCAAGGAACTAATAATCACAGATTCAAGAAACCAGATATTTCCCACCAATGACGAACATAATGTATACCAAACGTCTCAGTACAAACAAGTTCAAAAGACATATAATATTAAATACCTTGTATTCAGGATTGTCCCGCTTGCGTAGAAGCTCCATACCAAATGCCTAATCAAATGAGAAAGATATCAGCCGATAATAACAAGAGTGAACAACTTAAATCACAATTTTATTGCCATATTACCTTCTCGTAGAAATTTATGGAACGGTCAAGATCTCCTACACGAAGCATTACTTGACATAAGGGCTCTGGTGTAGGGCCTCGTTCTAAAAGCTCAAATTTATAACCACCAGGATCTTCAATAAAGGCAATTACACTTTTGCCACCCTTCACAGGTCCAGGTTCTCTGGTAACTTTTCCTCCCTTGGCTTTGATAAGATCAACTGTCTTTGCAACCTGTTGAACAGAAACATGGGATATCAACAGAGAACCATTTTCCTAAAAAAATTATGAGATTTATACAGATTATCCTAACATACAAGTTGTTGACATGCTACCTAAAGAAGCAATCCCTTTACAGAAAGGCTTCGTGAAAAAACCTAACCACTTAGAAGGGGCAACAACTGACCAACATGAGTAAGGTTACTTAGCATGATTGATTTGGATTAATCACAGGCCATGGTCACTATGTTTAAGAATTTATGTCATAAAAATCTTTTCATTATAAAAATAATGCCAACCAAACTAACCTGTCAAAATATTGAAAAGATGGTTCCATATACAACTCACTAACCCCATATATTAGTACTTTCATGAAGGATTGTTATTTTTGTGAATAATTATTATATGGGTCAATGGTGATTATGTTTCTCTTAAGTTACAGATTACAGATTGCTTAAATTGTACAGTCACAGAAAGTTAGTACATATTTATTTAATATCAAGCTCATGTTGAGCCATGTACTACTTTCTAAAGTTTGTTACATCAGTGCAGCAGTATCTTTATCATCCCTATATCCCATGTTCTCATGTCCGTGCTTCAATGACGACATGAACACTGCACTTGTGCCATACCTAATCTCACATAGCAGCATACAGAGTCATGTGTTAGGTATCCTACCTAAAACAAATTATTTAAAGGCAAAATGTGTCCCCTCACATTCCCCAAAAGTGGTTTCATATAATTTTTTGACAAATACTTACCGAGTTTACATGTTGTATTGCTTTTTATCACAAGACTTAATAATCTAGCTCTATAATTCCCCACACTCCATCAGAACTGCACATAGGTCTACATTATTTCCCCTATAAAAGGCATATCCATAGATCAAAAGACAATCTGCTCTGACTTATAGTTTTATATGGTTTCCAATGCTAACCAAGCATCCTTTTATCTGTTCACTGCCAAACGAACATGTTGAGATTCTCCCAGTTCAGGTAATGGCTGACAAGTTCCAAATTCTTTTAGACATTACACACTGTTCATCATCATTAAGAATATCTATCTATGTGCAACCCATACTTTTTGAGGTCAAAAAAATCCATCTCTTTCAGGCTTCTCTCCTTTGGTTAATAAGCTTTATCCCAGTGCACCTATTGTCAATGGTTAGGGTTTTAGAAACTTTCTTCAAAGGGTCTAATACTATTGCCTGATTCGGATATCACTTACCACAAGAAAGAAAAACAAGTCAAAGTATACAAGTCACAGATAAACTCTCAGTATACAAGCCTTACTGCCTCAAAAAAAATGTTCATAGCTTTGCTCGTCGTGCGTAATGTTTGTGCTGTGTCATATCATATCCTTCCAAAGGCCAGTTCAACACAAGTGGCAAGGTGTGACGTCACCTAAATGAATTGGGTTATACAAGTTATCGTTGTTGACACTTGCACTGACATGGCAAATGGCCTAACAGCATGAATCATCAGGACATAACACAAGGTGCTCGATACTTCAACATGATCAGTGCACTTGTACATTGGTTCTTCAAAGTTGGAAATAGTTGACTAACAAAAGCCTAAAATAAACCTTGCCAAGAGATATTCAACTCATGTTCCCTGAGTTTATCAGTAAAGTAACTTTGTAATAATTAGAGATAAACTTCTTGCATTTCATTTGGCACAAATCAAAACCAGTGTTTTCAAAAGGTGCTCGGGCACTCACTTGAGCGCTAGGGCGACACAAGCCATGACCTAAGCACCTCGCAACATCTCAGGGCAAGACGTTTCAATGAAGCGCCGCTTGGGAAAGTGCCTGAGCCCAAGCGCTGGACGCCTCAGGCGAGAGCCCACACCAAATCGAGTAGACTTCAAGCCTGGGTTCGACTAGGTGAGTAAGTTGGTTCAATCGAACCAACTAATGTAGGTTGTATAGGTGCTTACCCTAACACCAACCCGGTGAAAGAAACCAAAAGCGAAAACCTACTGCTCGCCCGTCGCCTTTGCACTTGTTGTTCGCCACTGCAACTTCATCCGCCACTTTCATACACCATCCGCCGCCATCGGCAACCTCGTCTGCTTTGTCTGCCGCCCTCTCCAACTTTGTTCACCGTCGTCGGCAACCTCTTCTCCTTCATCCACTGTTGTGGCTTTGTCCATTCGCCATTGCAGCTTCATCCGCCGCCCTCTCCAACTTTGTCTGTCGTTGGTTTCCACCTTCCTCTACAGCTGCCAGTTACTTCTGCATCTTCTCATTTTATAGGTAGTACTTTCGTCAAGTAACTTGTTGCACCATATTGAGGTGGTGCACTATTGCTCTATTAGGAGTTAGAACTTAGGAGTTCTAAGTTCACCACATTATGATCATATTTATCAATCGTAATATAATTTTTAAAATTTTAATATTCATGAGCATCTCACTAAGTTCATGTGGGCGCCTAGTGCCTCGAGCATTTTGGGTCCTTGGTAGCTTATGCTTTTAAAAACATTGATCAAAACATGATAGTATCATGCACAAAGACAAAAAAACTTTACATGTGAGTCAGAAACAACCAAAATTTTTGTTCAGACCTCCAATTTTGCATTTTAAAGAAATAAACATATATTACTTTGTAAAACACAAGCATGTGCAAGCCAAAAGAAGAATGACAATGCAAAAAAGTATATTCGTCAATTGAAATGGTGACTTACGTCTTCAACTGCAATACCAAAGTGACCAAAACCAGTGCCAATCTCATATTTGTCAACTCCATAGTCTGCCATTGTTTGCACAAATAAATTTTGAGCCAAACATGTCAAAAGAAAACGTTTGTTCTGTTAAGCAAGCAAATGTATTGCAAACTACAAGATATTCCCACTGAGCAAAATATTTGCATTACAATCTATGATACAAAATTGTGAATACAGTTTCTGACATATTGACATGAAAAGATATTTAGAAAGCTCACTGTATGTAAGCTCTACAACAAAATGTGAGTCTTCGGGGCCATATCCAAGGAAAGCATTTGTGTATCTTTCCTCAGGAATGTCACGTTTCCGCAGCAACTTCATCCCCAGGCACTCTGTATAGAACCTGTACCAGTTAGAAAAATAAGATCATAAGAATTCACGTGAATCCAGATCTATTACAGAACATTCCATATTAAACAGGATGTCTGAGTTGAAAAAAATCACTTTATTGTCTTGTCCAGATCCCCAACACGGTAAACAACATGAAGCATCCTTCTATTATCCTTGTTCACCCACTCTAAGGCCTCTTCTTGATTAACTGGGGTGCTTGTTTCTGCTGTATTTCCAAACGCACTGGCCATTGTACAATTTACTTTTTTTTTTAACAGCTGCTCCAGATGTAGAACTGCATAAACACCTGCTTTCAAAAAGCAAAGGAATCAGGCTTCAGAAAAATAAATAAATAAATAAATACAAGAAAATAGAACACACTTAGACTGCAAAATCCACCATAATTAGAAAGTACTACTTGAAAAGAAAATTGCATGTGTAAAAATACCGCTCCAGCATCCAGCAAACAAATACTAATTATGGTAATTGAGCCAACCCAAAGATTTACCTCGTCGGTCAAGATATAGAACAGAAAACCTACATTTCTGATTCAACAAAAAATAATTCCTTATATATTTCCGAATCATCGTGGAAAGCAAAAAAGGATATAGTTGCAACTTCAGATAATCACGATGAATAGATATGTTAGTGAAGAAAAAGATGCAATCTTGAACGAAACCAACACCGGTAACAACGCGATTCACCACAAGAGCCACTGGTGGTACAACTATCGGTCCGGCGCTAATCGGGCCCAACCTAGGTTCCAATTGCCAAACCACGAGAAATCCACAGGGAGACGACTCCACACAGAGGAGAAATGAAGGTTTTGGAGCTTGGGTAGGGGCGACCACCGAATGATCAGAGCTCACCGCTGCCGAGACGGGCGGGAGGAGCGCGCCGACGAGGAGGGACGGAGGACGGGGAGGAAGAGCGACCGAAGCGAGAGTTTGGAGACAATCGAAAGGCGGAGAAAGAGGGGGAGACAGGTGGTCGGAAGGCGGCGGCGACGGCGGCGGAGGCCATGGGCGTAATCCTCACCATCCGCCGGCTGCGTCCTTGCGGAGGCCTCTGCTCCCGGTCGCTCCCTCGCGAGCAAGAAGCAGCAGCAGGGCGCTTCGCGGGCTTCCGTTCCCGCACCCTCTCCCTCTCCCTCTGTATCGGTGGCGCAGGATTCAGCGCGGGGTATATGGCGCGCGGACCGAGGAGGCCGTGCAAGGGTTTCTTATCGACGAATAAAAAGGCTGGCTCAAGCAAGGGATCGGCGTATGGAATAGGTTGCATCGAGATTTGTGAATCGTTAGATCAATCACGCGGTGGCGTGAGTTATCTTTTCTTGTTAATTCCAAGTCGAGAGATAGTGTCTCGTATTATCATATTTCTTACAAATACTTATTATATTTTTTTTGAAACAATATTTAAAACAAAAATTAGAAATAATTATTTTTAAATATACTTATAGTGTTTTACTGGTTTTAATATTTGTAAATTTAAATAGGAGTTATAATATTTTTACTCTATATTCAAAAGCACTATTACTTTATTTAAAAATATTATAGTTCAATTTTTTTGTTAACATTTTCCATAATGAATGAAAACAAATATTATAAAGTTTTTCAAAATATATAAACATAATCTTAAAAACTAAATGAGAAAAAAATAAAATTTATAGGTCCATTTAAAATATTATAAACAGGTAGTGTTTTTTCACCCTTTTTATTGGCATTCTTCTGCAGTAAATGAAAACAAATATATAGATATAAATTTCATGTTATGTTATAAAACAAAAGAATCTTTGTTACTATTTATTTTGAAACATGTCAAAATCTTATTAATTTTCATCCAAATCATCTATAATAAATATGGTTGATGGGGATTTGAACTAATTAAGTTTCATCCTTTATTTTTTTTACTTTTATGATAAATAAACATAAATATCATGAGGTTTTTCATAATATGTACCTGGATTTATGATTAAGTGAAAAACGAGGATTAGCTATCCTTTAACATGAAATATACCAAAATAATCCTAATTTCAATGCAAAGACATTCGAAAACTTTCAGATAAATCATTTTATGAAATTTCAAAAGATATGAGAACATTAACAATTATAGTTGATGAGGTTTTAAAGTATTGATTTTGATTATAGTGTTTGGAACAGAAAACTCACCGGACCATTTAATTTGATTATAGATTTTGATTATAGTTGCTAACTCCTCGATCACGCCATAAAGGTTCACCAACACTTCTCGGCCTCCTCTTTCTTGATCTTTGTGCTCTAGGCGGGAAGTAGGATGGATACCTTCTTGTAGATGAAGATCACCGGACCAGGGACGAGGCCGGGGCCATACTCGGTTGCAGCCTCGCCCCACTGGCTGGGAGCCGTATCGCTGTCGATCGCTGGCTTGGGGGCACGTCGATTCCCCCCACCGACAACCATTTAAATAGAGTGGTGAATGGATCCAGGAACCTGGCAAGACAATCCGATCCGAACCCAAAATAATTGGATCCATTATGTCCGCCGAGAGGATAAATGTGTCGCCACTTGGGTTGGCCCTGTCGGACTCCAGATGAGGGCGAACCAGAAATACTCCAAATTGGCTCGTTCGTTCCTATTAAATCGAATGATAGGAGTTGAAAGAATCAACGTGGGGAACCGGACATACCAAATTTGCAATGGCCATATTTATTATGAAAAACTTCATATAGTGCCGCTAAACACTTCTCCAGAAAACTACAAATGTAAAATAGGCAATTTGAGATTGTACAGTTTCTACATCTTTCATTACTGTCATAAAAAAGATTACACACGTGAACAGAAAAGGACAAATGATTATTTGACAAGTGGAAATTTTTTTTGCAGAATCATAATGACCAGAAATAAAATACTCAATAGAGAATGCAATTAACCATAAAGATGTGAAATTACACATAAAACAACAGGTGTTAGAGATGTAGTGTTCCGATGCTCCTTCCCCACACAGAATCTAACCGTTGGATCCACCACATCCATGCAAATTATTCTTTTAAATACAAATTAAATGGTCTGAAATATTGTATATCGTATCAAAATGCTTAAGCAAAATTTTCTTCCGAGAACCATATACTATGTTGTATATGATTTGTACACAATATTCTGTTTGAGAAAAAGTTCTGCAAAATGTTGTGTTTGTCGTTTTGTATTATTTTATATTGGTTGTACCTTCATCCTTAATGAGAACCATTTTATCTGCAAATGTTAGCACAAGAGGCCTTATCAAATGCATAAATACGACAGACACGGGCTTTATAAATATAACCTCATTTTAAAATATAAAAAAGAGTAAAACACAAAAATTTCACCTCATTTTCAACCTTTCTTGAAACAATACTTGATCACAATCTCTATCACGATCGTTGCTTTTCTGCAAAGAGAATGCTTGATGCTGCAATCATGCTAGGGTAGCAAACAGCTCCAGTGTAACCCAATTTTTCTAGCAACAGACGGTAAGTATCTTCGCTGGGAGGACAGAGAAGCTGTAGGACTTTTTCAGCTGCTGAAGTCTGCTTTTCTTGAATATTGTTATCAAGAACTACTTTACTGCAGTGCCAAAAGCAGGATGGATTTATACATTAGACATCTAAATTATCTACATGGCAGGAAATAAGAACAAGGCATAGTGAGAGAGAAAGCAAAAATTACAACAAATGTAAGCTTTGCAACTTGTTATGTGCATGACCTTGTTATTAAAAATGTTTAGAAGATTCAGCACCAGACATCCAACTATGAGAAATTCTGCCACATATCTGGTTTAAGTAGCTCAAAATTCCAGGCCAAGTTCTAGCCATCCTGACATGTTAAGACCACATGGGCGAACAAGAACTTGCACAGGTGAACACACACACACACACACATACCGAACATAATGTGGTAAAAGCAGCTCAAGCAAAAGGCTCAAAGACATTGTCAAAAGAAAGGTTTCACTCTGAAAAGCTGAAGATGTTCATGACACCTAACTTCTATGAATAGTTGAGTTTCACTTCCTTGCTATTTGTTGCCATATGATCATGTAAAAATGCCCATCCTTCCACCTTATCAAGCATTCCAGTACCACAAACAGAGCTCTAAATGTTTAAGCACTAAATTGATAAGGAAAAGGAGTAAGAATTAAAGTTCAAACTTCAAAGCAAGGTTCTCAATTTCGGGAACTGGACTGGCATATCAATACCAGCATAGACCATGGTACTATTATGGTTGCAGGAGGGAGGAGGAAAAGGAGACAGGTGAAGATGGATGGGAGGAGGACGAGAAGTACCATCTGGTAGCGGATGATGAGTGGCAGCATTCAAACGCATAGGCGGAGATGTGTGGGCGGCAGTGTGCAGCACAGGCAATCCTGAGCATGCAGCAGTACTGCTGTCACTCCCACACAGCTGCAATTCTCAAGCAGCTACGAAAGAAGTAACCCAGGACCTAATAAACCAGACATGACTGCCCGAGAAGAGGCCGCCACATACCGGTTCATTCCAGGACCAGTAAATATCTGCCGGTATGGACTGGTTTGGGCATTCTGCATTCCATGCTTCAAAGTTCAAACTACTATAGGATATGAAAATTTAAATTCATTTGCTGTATGCATGTAGTCAACAACCGATCCTCACAGAACCTCTCACTGATTACATACCAGTCTTACTCATAGTGCTATGAAAAGTAGCAACCATACCAAAGAGAACTGACACCAAAACACTATACCATACCGATTCAACATTGTACCACAATGTCGTATGTTTACATTATTTCCTCAGTCCAAGCATTACTCATAGTGCTATAAAAAGTAGCAACCATACAAAAAGAACCGACACCAAAACACTATACAATACCGATTCAACATTGTACCACAGTGCAGTATGTTTACATTATTTCCTCAGTCCTGTTGATGGCCTTATGCATGACAATCTCATCCTAGTCTCATCCACCATAATCTATCATCTTAGAACCTTGACTAAAGAATAAAAGATCTACAAGCAACCCCGTATGCCCTTGCAAAATTCTCATCAACCAAAATCTTATAGGCTGTTATCTTATCATTTTTTATTCAACCTACAGGAATTTGTATGCCAATTTTAATAAATGCACATCCAAAACAAAAAGCCTGAACATCATGTACCATCAAGATGACAATGAACTGAGTAACAATAACAGTCATACTAGGCCTAAACAATGTCTCTATCTCTAGTTCTCATTCATACATGCAATAACCAATTTGTCGGGTAGACAGAAGTTTACAACAATAAAAACAACAAGAAGCCGGAATGTCCCAATCATTTATCAGCAACAACAAACTCCACACTAGAATCCACACCAACGTCCTGAAACACTAAACCAATACATAGAACCACAAATAGGGGTCCAAAACAAAGGTTCCATCAATATTTGCCCAACTACCTTATGCCTGTTTGGTATAAGATATCAAGCAAGGCTGAACTTTCAAAGTTCCAAACAAGAATTAATTTGGTAGACTAAGAAATTTGGCCAATGAAGAAAATTTATCAAATTGTTTTACAGTAAGAATTTAAAATTTTGTAAATTAATCAAAGATAATCTAGTTAATAAAGAATTTGGTCACCAAAGACAATCTTAAATTTTTTATCAATGTCATTGCCTATAAAAGCTTAAGTCATTAAATGAGACATGATTTATGATTTTATATTCTTAAGTCTTAACATCACCTCTCATGTGTAGTTGGCAGGTGGCTCAAACTAATATGTGGAATTTGAATTTATTGAAGAAATCTTTCTTTTATAAGCATGGTCCCAGTGAGATTGGAAGAATACAGGACCTTCAGCTTTGATACCATCTTAAATTTTTTTATCAATATTATTATATCTAAAAAGCTAAATCTTTAGATGA